CGCGCGCTGTTACGGAATGCGCGTTTTCTATTTGCCGCTACGAAAAGCTATCTGGTAGTTATAGTGTGAACGTAGCCTTAATTGAACAAAACATAAAGGAGCAGATCAATTTCTTCTGCTCACGCGCAAGTTTTGTACGTACAATTTGTTTTAAACAATATTGATAATTGGCCAGAATTAAACTTTCAAACTATCGTTTAATGTTCATCAATTTATTTAATATAATACCTTGAATATATGAATACGCTTTAAAATACACTATAATATATGATTTAAACATTGATTTTCACATTGAAATAATACAATCTATATTCGGTATATGATAATACAACTATATTGTAATCAATAAAATTCATTTTAACATTGTACATAATTAATTTTATACTATTTAACTAATAAATTTTTCTGATGACAATGCAATATGTAATATATTCTCTATTTTCTAACATGCACTAAATCTGTAAGCAATGACTTTTATATCTTCACCGTAAAATTCCAATTCATAAATTCATAAATAACACATAAATTCATTCTCCGTTCAGAGCCACCTTAAGTTTCGACCAAGCTTTTCCTCGACACAAAAATGAATACTTCACACAGTCAGCCATTTGCCCTCGGACTGAACTCGGAAAACGTCGTATCGGATCCTCGGTTTCTTCCCCCAGTATTCCGCTCCGCTTCTGGCAATGTAAACCAGGCTTGCATCGAAATTCGCGAGCTTTGCGTTTTTGTGCCGGTCTCACGGGCTTTTGCTTGGGTGTCACGGGATTTTGTACCGGCGTTTCGCGTTTACCGTTGATGCACCATAGGCCTGGGGCACACCTTGCTTTGATGTCATTGGACAAAAAATCTACATTCCCGCGCTTTTCCTGCAAATCTTCGGAATCCGCATCCCAAGCCCTAATATCTGCAGGGCGGGCATTCCCAAAACACACTGCACACGAGCCAATCACCAGGACCACATAAACCAAATTCATTTTCTACCGAACAAAAACAGAACATTGTTTAGATGGATAGTTAGATAACTTTCGCTTGCCAATTCTTATTTGATTTGGTGGGAGAACATTAAGGATAATCTCTTATTACTAATCAAGTGTTACTACAGGAGGAAACCTATAGACTAAACTCACATAAAGTTAGTTTAGGTTTCCTCCTGTAGTAACAATGGATCAATAAGAGATGACACTCACTGGAACTCTAGGGAGTATATAGTTTAGACTGATAAAGTTATCCAGTATATAAATAAAGTTAGTTTAGGTTTCCTCCTGTAGTAACACTGGATCAATAAGAGACGACTCTTACTGGACCTCTAGGTAGAACAGTTTAGAACTGATAGAGCTATCCAGTATAAATAAAGTTAGTTTAGGTTTCCTCCTGTAGTAACACTGGATCAATAAGAGATGATCCTTACTGGACCTCTAGGGAGAACAGTTTAGAACTGATAGAGCTATCCAGTATAAATAAAGTTAGTTTGGGTTTCCTCCTGTAGTAATACTGGATCAATAAGAGATGATCCTTACTGGACCTCTAGGAAGAACAGTTTAGAACTGATAGAGCTACCCAGTATAAATAAAGTTAGTTTGGGTTTCCTCCTGTAGTAATACTGGATCAATAAGAGATGATCCTTACTGAACCTCTAGGAAGAACAGTTTAGAATGATAGAGCTATCCAGTATAAATAAAGTTAGTTTAGTTTACGACACTGGATCAATAATAGACGATCCTTACTGGACCTCAAGGGAGACCAATTTGGAACTGATAGAACTACCCAATATAAATATAGTTATGGATCAATACGAGATGATCCTTACTGGACCTCTAGGTGGAACAGTTTGGAACTGACAGAGCTACTGAGAATGAAGATAGTTTAGTTAAATGCAGACTTACCTTGTTTCAATGCAGAACCAATCCCTAGTTCCTTCAAATTGAAACGAACTCAAGTGCTGTCCCAAAATTTCGGACGAATTTTATATTTGCAAAATTCGCGTGGGTTTGCTATTGCCCCCGTGCGTCAAATCACGAAGTTATGCTATTTATAATTTTCTATTTTGCCTTCGGATTGTCGAGGCTTTCAAACATTAAACATTGCTTGCGTCTACGTCAACAGTTTCGTTAATTTCGTAGCGAATATTGTGAAATAAATCTATTTTTGCTTTCGGTCTAGTAAATTTTTCTTAAAATTAGCAAACTTTTGCGGCTAGTTTGTCACAAAAGGAGATATATCCTCTTCCTGACCGCCGTATTGACAGAAAGGTTAATAATATTTTTACCGCGCTTTGTTGCACTATTTCAGAACAATGACTACGTCAAAGGTATATTATTTTTTTCTGTTATGCTGGGAAAGAACACACATGGCATATATTGAAATGTTTCTTAACATAAACCAAAAGGTATTTTTAAAGCAAATTGTGTCGTGGTTTGTGTCTGAACTACCTGAAAAAGATATCTCAAACGTTGAGATCCAGTGTAGGTAGTATATTCTACAATAATAATCTGCCGTGGTTTGTGTCTGAACTACCCGAAAAAGATATCTCAAATGTGGTGGTCCAGTGTAAGTAGTTTTCTACAATAAGCTGTCGTGGTTTGTGTCTAAACTACCTGAAAAAGATATCTCAAACGTGGTGGTCCAGTGTAGGTAATATTCTACAATAATATGCCGTGGTTTGTGTCTGAACTACCTGAAAAAGATATCTCAAACGTTGAGAACTACCTGAACTACCTGAAAAAGATATCTCAAACGTGGTGGTCCAGTGTA